ATATATATATATATATATATATATATATATATATATATATATATACATACACACACACACACACACACACATTATACATACATACATTGTACATATGATTCATGTCGTTTTGCATGTAGCAACAAACCAATATAAAATTCAATATTATCTCATGATTTCTAGTCGTACATGGTACAAACCTTTGATGGCGGGGTTCTTCAACATGTGGGATACGAAGAAAATCCTGATGATGACGATCTCACTAAGTTACTAAGGCTAAAAGCCCTGAAATGGGCATGTACCGTCGGTCACGCGGAATGCAAGAGAAAGGCCGCCGTTAAATTAAGCGAACATTTCGCGGATCCTGATACTCACAAGTAACTATTTTTATGATCATGATTATCTCATAATTTATATTTGTGCGTGTGTGTTGCGTATGCGCGCGCACGTATGCATATGGATGTAATCGATTCCTTTTATTTTTTCGAGTTATCGAAATCAGATAGTCTCTTTATTGTTTTTTCTTAATTTCCATTCTTGTTTTAATACATAAAATAAATATGCGAAACAAGTAAAAGTATATGTATATAATAACAAGAGACGTTATGGATGGATTTATCTTTCATTTATTTATTCATTCACTGTGTTCACACGTAGTCTTATGGTCACGTGGCAAATATAGAGTGACAGAACAGCGCACGTCAGACACTTAATTTTGCAAAATAAGATTTACCTAACAGAACGGAAAAAAATACAAAACTTGATAAAATAAAACGTCGGCTATGCGTATGAAGTGCATGTACCTCTTTTCCATAGATACATATGTATTTTAGGGTTCCACAATGGTGGCAAGATTGGACGTACTGCTTTGGTTTAGCGGTAGCTAATAGGACTACTTGGGATAAAATGATGGCACTCTACCAGCGAACATCTGATAAGAAACTTTGGAAAATATTGAATTGTGCTGAAGATCCTGATATCATTATCAACTATTTGAATATTACAGCATCCAATACTACATTATTTAAGGATGAGCAGCATGCATTGATCTTCAATTTAATTCTTCAAAACCATGCACGCAACGATTTGGTCCTTGACTACATATTAGCAAATTTGAATCATATAAAAAGGTAATACATTTCTCTTTACAAATATACATTCTGTTTTTAAATAAATTTATCTTATACATTAATTATAAGTATGTTATTTTATTCTTACAGAAATATTCCTGGAAGCAAGACGATAAATTATATCATTAAGAATGTTTTTTCTGATGAACAAATGTCTAAGGTAGGTTTTATGACTCTAGGTTCATACTTATTGATTTTCTATTGATAATCCTTTTGCATATATACGCTTCATACACATATATGCTTCCGCAGTTAAGGGATTAAATATATTTGTATGCATACCATGTATTGTTATTATGTTAAACAAAAATATATATTTCAAGAGATCGCTGCGTAAAAATAAATTACTACATATTAATGATAAAAATTCTTAACATCCTAATTTATTTCAGGTGAAAAGATTCGCAGAGACTCGTTTTCATCAAATGCCAAATATTTTGTCAAACATTATAGATCTGATAGAACAGCGTAAAAGTGATGTTAAAGAGTTGTCAGATATTTTTGCAAAGCGATTTGGTAGAAGTCAAACTTTAATTGATAAATTATGAAAATTAGATTATGATGAAGAAGACGTCAATATTGGGTTGGTCAATAAGACCTACCAATGAAGATCAATCAAGACCTATCTGCATAATTTTTTGAACAATACTATTTTTATTTATTATTACTGTTTTGGAAATAACTTTTTAATCATTTTTAATTATTTCTAATATTTTTATAATTCATAGTATTTTATTAATAGTCTGGAAGCTATTGATAAAATTCTCTGTGACAATGCTGTTCTGTAATTAAATATATTTATATGTCATATTATTGTTATACTGTTATAATATGACATAATACTGTTCTGTAATTAAAAAATAATTTATAGAGTATTAGACTTGATGCTGTTTGATATCTTTCGTAAAATATATTTTATAAACGCACTTTAGTTTTATTACATTTGATATAGAGCTCATGCGGATGAATTTTTTAAATTGAATTAATTTATAATACTTTGTAGACATTATGTAATAGTATTATTTGCTAATAATGTACTTAAATTTTAATTATAATTATAATTATAATTATTGCTAGACTTTGAATAAAAGACATGAAATAATAACGTCGCATTGTACTAAAAACTTTATTTAAACAGTATTTATTACTGTATAGAATAAAAATTTCTGTTCATTCTTCAAATTTTAATATTATTTACAACCCCCATTTTCATCATTTTATTTATTGCATATATTTTCGTCTATATTATATAATTAATTTTTTTTAATATAAAGTATCAAGTATGAATATTTTGTATCACTTTTATAGATCACCCATGTTACAATCGCAATATTGAAAGGCTTTATTTCCAACCTTTATACTAAAGAGCACAACTTGACAAGGTATATATTTTATAATCACAGATTTCATATTTATCGGATTTTTATTAAATTTATTTTTCTCCGTGTATGCTTTATATTTATGTACTATAGTTAGCTCAAACTACTTGTACCGTACGAATATAAATTAATACATAATCTATTAGCGTTAAAATATCGAAATAATATATTTCAGATCAAGTACCTATATATCGTTTGTATTAATATGTTTTAGTATGATTGGAATTATCTTTCTTCTTTCCTTCTTTTCTCTATTCTTTCGTTTTCGTATAAAAATTAATATCTATTAAATTTCAATAACTTGTACTGCAATTGCATTATTATTTTCTTTTTAACAAAAAATTACAGACACCTAAAGCAAGTATACTGACATGGAATTCCCAAAATTGTTATTACATATCGGCCATATATTGGTCGTAGTCACCATCTCTAGTATCGCTGACGATTCAGAAATCATCCATCGTTTTCCCAACAACACAGTACCAGTTATATATAACATCAGTTTGATCCCACATCTCAAAAAAGGCAACACTACTTTTCACGGTGAAATCAGTGTTATTATCGATATTACTTACACATCGTCAAAAATAACCTTACACTTGCAACAATTAGAATTAAATAAAGCGGCGACAACGCTGATTAACGGCACTATAATCTATAAACCAAAGAAACATATTTATAACAATGAAACGAATATATTGACGCTACATTTCAACGAAGTATTGTGGAGCGGTATTTACATTTTAAAAATGCAGTTTATTAATCATTTTCCTAAGGGTGATTTTCCAAAAAATGGCTGTATAAAAATTCTGTACACAGACCAAAAGGAGACAACACGTAAGCAAATATTGGAAATATTAAAAATATGTACTTATAACATAAACGTTATTTACCACTGCCCTTATTTATTACTTTTGCTTATTACCTTCCTTTACTTATTACTTTTATCGTTATCAATCTATAACACATAGAACTCGACAAAAACATCTTAAACATGTAGAGGAGACCGGGGCAAACTCGACACCGGGGCAAACTTGACACTAGGCTTTTTGCCAATTTAAATGTATCGTAGAAACTTGCTTTTCCTACTGTAAATGCGTCTTTATATGCTAGTATTATCAACGGAATTTGGTAACATTCTGAGTTATGGTGTAATTTTTAACGCGACATAAGCGTTTTTGATAGTGAAAAGTAATTTTTCTGATCTCTCAAAAATGTTTACTCTTTCATCGAGCTTTACTCTTGCGAATCTACCGATAAGTGATTTTGATGGGAAATTCGATGCTTTATACGAATCCGATAATAGTTTTTGCATAATTTCAAAATTTTTATATTTTTGGAGAAACAAAAGTAAAAAATGACGTTCGGGGCAAAGTCGACACGCTGTTTTATTGGCTCCCAATAATAAACGATGCTTGTGATGCAGCCACATGGCCCATGACAAATGTGTGCGCACATGTAATCGCGAATTTACTTGCATAAATTGTTTTTCAGACATGAGTTTAGATGAAAATAATTGAATGTTCAACAATTTTTGTTCTCATTATTTCCAATGATTGTTTTACTTAATTCCAAATTTTTGTACTTTCTAAATACACGATAAACAAATGTATATTTAGTTTCAGACAATAAAAAATAAGTTCCAGATCAAATTGTGTCGATCAGGCAAAATGTCGAGTTTACCCCGGCATTTTTCAATTTGAAAATTTGTCTTCACGTCACTTTTCTTTTCCTGGGGGCAAAACTAAGCGACGTATAGCAAAATTTCCTTAAGCAATTTTGTACCTGAAGGAACGCTCTTTAAATGTGTACCATTAAATTTGCTTGAAAATTTTAATTAATTGTTGAAAGATGAAAGATGAAAGATTAAATTACAGATTGGCCGCAACGTTCTTCAAGCCAAATAGCGCCAGACGAATGTTTCCATGTTGGGACGAACCAGGGTTAAAAGCTACCTTCAGCATCTCCGTCATGCATCATCAGGAATATAAAGTAATGTCGAATATGCTGGTGCAAAAGCAGTACAACGTAGGAAATGACATGATGTGGACACACTTCCATCACACTCCTACAATATCCACTTATCTCGTGGGAATTGTGATTGTACATACCTAATTTCTTTCGCGTTGGAAACGCAGTCAGCGTGTGGTGCAAATGGTCTTTGCAACCGCAAACAAAATTCGTGCGTACTATTGCCGAAAAGGTCATGCCGCTCTTGGAATGGTATACAGATTCAAAGGAACAAAAGGAACCAAAAATAGATCACGTTATGGTACCAAATTATCCCGTCAACGGTATGGAAACTTGGGGACTCATTATTTATTACGAGTAATATAAATAATTAGAAAGATTAGTAATATACATAAGAAAAGGATTATAATATTAAACTATTAGAGCTGGCCAATAACTTTTAGCATTCAAAATTTGATAATTGAAAACACGTGTGTACTTCACGGATATTCAAAAAATGCATATTTTTATTCTTAGATTGTCTTAAACAAATTAATGTATTTAATTAATGTTACCCTTTCCTTCCATCCCCATATCTTTATGTACATATATCATACGTGTACAAAACGAAAAAATTCCAAACTGTCTAAGTTATTCACGTAAGAGAATATAGTTACTTGAATATAAATACTGTAGTTACTTGGAAACACATTAGACTGTATGCCAGCGATAAGGAAAGACTTTTCTTAATTACATTTTGTGTATTATTATGTTATGTCTTTCAGCGAATCAAAAGTTGTCTACAATGAAAGCACAGATCCCACATTTCGGAGAAGGGAAGTAGCGTCGTTAGTAGCAAATAAACTCGTACATCAATGGTTCATGCAGCAATTACGTCACCCCATCTTGGTGGTCCCACGTGTGGATAAGCGAAGGATTTGTTGCGTTCTTCGAGGCGTATTTCCTCAACAAGGTTATTTAATATTACTAATGCAAGTTACTCATTAAATAGAGAAATACATTTCAATCGTTAAGATCAAAATAAAATCTATAAAAAAAATATACATATTTTCTTGAGATGTATCAAGATGAAACTGAATAAACAATAGCATCCTTTTCGATCTAGAATTATAAAGAAGATTGTAACGCGTTTTTTCTTTTCAAATAATTATACGAACAATTTAAAATAAATTTTTAATAAGATTAGAGAATATTTTGTTTTTAGCATCTGCCGCGTTAAAGATTTGCCACTTTTAATGTCATATTTTAACATTCCATTCACATTTAACAATCTTAGGAATATAATTATAATGGTTTCATTAGAATCTGAAAACATTTTATTTATTTTACAGCCGCTACACTCAACAGTTAATAATATAATAATATTCAAATTTCGAATTTTCTTACTTTGATTTCATATTCGTATTCCATAATCTCTAACATTTTTAAAAATAATTAAACTAAATATGATCTTCTCAAAAAAGATTAGACGCTAAAAGGATTAATATTTTATCTAAATATATTACAATAAAAATTATAACAGTAAAGTTTTTGGAAGTGGTAAAACTTGTTTATTTCTTAATGCAAACTTTTCCTCAAATTTCTATATTCAGTCATATCAGAGGATTTTTTTCTGCAGACATTTGAAGACTGGCGGACAATAGATTTTCTCGTGACTGAACGCATGCACGATTCTCTCTATATTTAGACACTGGCTCTTTGAATTCTGTTACATTGAAACTTTACAATACTTTGGAGTACAATGAACTCTTTGGTAATGAAGTTTTTAACAAAGGTAAGATTATCCAAATATAATTAAATTGTCGTCTGAGAATACTTTAATGCAGGTAGCACAAAAAAAAGAGAACAGACGGTTAATAGCAAACAAATTCTCTTTTTGCGCAATGTATTTATATATATCTTAATTTTATGCATATAATCCACTTTATGTATATTATTAATCGGTAATTTATGACGCGATTTATCGTAGCTCCAGCAATATTGCGCATGTTATATCATGCAGTAGGTGAGAAGGTGTTTCAAAAGGGTATCATCACATATTTAGGCAAAAAGTAAGTGTGTTTAATGTACAAAATAATTATCACATATCGGAATATTAATCCTAACCATCCACACTTAATTTCGAGTCTTTAATTCGCCACACTCCGATCAGTAAGACCGCTCGATTTTTTCAATTTGTCACATTGTCGTTTTCATTCTAATTAATATTTTTAAGCTTGTACTGTAACTTAGGATAAAATATCATAAGTATAATGTTTCTTGTA